TACGTCAGTGGACTTCTGACATTTCGGTGATTGGTTCATTTATAGTTCATTTAAACGTGACTCGTTTAATTAACACCTCTTTTACGGCTTCATTCTAATCAGAACAATCCGAACTTGTCGAAACTAAACAACTTTTTAGGGAAAGGTTTGTTTATGAAAGAGGACTGAGATTGTGAAGACCTTTTTCATTCAAGAGGATTGTGACTAGGCATTTTTGCTAGATGTAACATCAAAAGAGTACACAATTCCTTGATGTAACGTCTTAAGAGACAACAATTGCATAGTCGCCAACCTTTTAAGGAAGTTAAGTATCTTTCTGACTATGCTACTGGTATTATGGTTGGAATTTCGTATTGTAACATGGCCAGCGATTGGCTGAAAGAATGTGCATGGAAACCGTTAGGTTCAATGGGACATCAGGTGATTGGATGAAAGTTTGATGTTTGTGAGAATGAAAACTAACACTACACTGTTTTCTTGAGAAAATAAAGTAGTTCATAAGTATCTAGGATAATATGTCACTTGGATATTTGCATTAAAAAGTATGTCAATCCTGTGACAGGAGAAAATTTCAATAACAATGATTGTAATCCTTTTTGATGTCATATTGCAAAAAAACTATTTGGTTGACTACCCTTATAAAACAATATGAATTTTATGGGTAGGGCATTTCTCATAGAAAAATCACCTCTTTAGCACGAAAACTAAATTTTTAGGTTGATTTAGGGACCATTTTTCATAATGTAAGTCTAAGGGAAAATCAGTTTGAAAGTCCGACCTTGTGCATTAAATATTTCTAAGATGTGTGTTGAATAAAACCTAATCGGGAGTATGAAGTAGTCATTATTGTAGGTGTAATATACATACATGTGTATACCTGAAAAATCTGGATATGAAATAATTAGCTTATTATCAAATCACATATTCGTTTTCCCATATAAACCAAAAGATGAGATAACTGTAAGAATTCAGACGTGGTCTTTTTTGTCAATATCTTGCAAAATAGCTTTTTATTGTAATTAGATCAATTAAACAAACAATGCATAGACTGTTGTCATAGCATTTCCATGGCACACGTTGCTGATTAATCTTTATAATCAACTTAGCGATTACATGCAGTCTCGGTGATAATGCAATATATAATATTGTATAAGATATGGCCATAGATATTTAAATAATTAAATGCTATTCAAGATTAGAATTATCAATAATTATGATTATAAAAGACTTGCTGATTCAGTTGCACAGAAGTTCATCCATTATTGTTGCATGTTTTTTCATGGTCACATGCCTGAACTCCCAAATAAAGACGCAATGCAAATACCGTTTAAATATGGCTTTAATTGGAATTATTAAAATTGGGAAATTTGCAAGCACTTGGTAACAAGGAGTGTGTTCTGCTAATAGCAATAATTTTCTACAGAATTCTCCTTTCAAAATGCATGTTTAAAATATAAAAACAACTAACCACGAACAATCTCTGTTTGATCACCACGAAATTGCAATGTCATTTGAAACAATTATGTCAATCTTCTGTGCGTTTATGTTTCCTTAAAGTAATTCTATCGTGAATATATTTGGAAATGAATGTGTTTGTTAGATGGTAGCATGAGATAACGTATTATTAGCATTGAAGATGCAATAAATAAATTGGCGTGTTCGCATTTTGTCAACCAATGTATCTTGTCAAAAGTAGTAATCAGCTGTCAGAAAAGTGAACTGAAAAGTTATGTGAAATGAGTAATCAACTGTCAGACAAGTAAAATGAAAAGTTATGTGAAATTAAAATTATTGCCGTCCGTAAGATAAAATACGATTGAAGTATAAAACAAGTAATGTTAATCTGTAATGCAATGTAAATTGTAATGTAACGTGGCAAAACTGACAGAGAAATTTTGATTCATACCATCTAGTGTAAGAAAGTAACAAAAGTTAAAGTGTGTTAAATTTCAGACAAATGTCTTTTTAGGGATGCTTCCGATTTTCATTATATGTAATATACTAGTGCACTTTGAAAAACTTTAAAATACTGTGCAATTTTTTCACTGAAAAATTTAGAATTTAAATTTGTAACTGACAGGTTCATTAGGAGATATTTCATTTACTGATCCCTAGTCTATAGTGTGCATTCATTTTTCCATTTACCCTGCACTTTTACATATATTATTTACGATTTAAGTTTTGTTATAAAGCATTTTGTCATTTCTTGTCAACCCTAACCCCCTAAACTAGTGTTTCCAATATTAAATAGCAACGACACACAGTCATTCGATCTAAGGTGACTGATGTTCATGCAATAAACTCACTATCGCCTGTTTTTGCGCATCTTTGTCATTCTGACACCTTTAATGAGAAAACTGAACTTTTCGAGTGGCAGCTTCAAAGCAATTTTGTGTAGTCATTACTCATTAGAAGAAGGAAAATATATTATGGATATTTTAGGATGAATTCAGCGTGGAACTGAACGCCCATGACTGGATTGTTCACAATAATTGTAATATTAAACCGACAGAACAAGCTGTGTTATCTGTCTGACAACTGTAATATATAAAGGTCATTAAATGTTTATATTGTATTGTCTCACAATTTACAGCATTTTATTGTGCAATAAAACGTTGATGAAGTTGAATTTAAAAAGAAGCTTTATGGTTTAAAAAAAATCTTTATATTCAAGCAAATATGTGTTTTAATATGATACAAAACATTTAAAGACATTTTATCAAAATACGTTCAAATAAAATAAATAAGTAGGAATCAATATTCTCTTATGTCCATACGTCAAATCAGAAATATATCTGTTATCAGATACATATGTATTGAGATTGTAAGAATAATAAAATGATTCAAGATAAAAGTAATAATTCCAATGTAAATTCAGCTTTAATGACCGATTTTGTAGTATTGTTACGATATTTCTACTGCGTAAGAAAATCCTATTTCCGCATATTTTGACCTCATTTTGTTAATTTACTTAAGTTGTATGTGTAAATAATTTTCTTTGTTACTTCATAATACATTTTGTATTTTACTTTAAATACATTTTCGAAAATGTCTTGAAATTAGCAGGAGATGGAGGTTGCTGCTTTAAGTTTCCTAGTTTTATCATACGTTTCGCCAGTCTTTTTTATAGAAGCTTAATGCACCATTTCCGGCTTGCATAGATGTTAATGCACGAACAAAATTACATTAGGGCTATTCCTTCATAAAAGTAACCGTCTAAATAAGTAATTCTGCTATTCGTTATCTATATTTTATATATAGAAACTATTATTGTGACATTCTTTCTACGGTTATTTTTTTAAAATTAAATTAACGGACCGTCATTGCATTGCTGTTTTTACATTGCGCCCTGAGTAACGCACATTACAAAACATGCAAAATAACGGCGCGTGGTCAAGAAAATCTGTCCTTTTTTGCACGTTTTCTTCTCCTTTAATGTATACCTGCGTGCGCAGATTTTATTAAGTAATATTATTTAAAGTATAAATAACTTGGTATTTTTAGTTTCAACGTTTCGGCATTTTCTAGTTGGGTGGTTTCAATATTCCTACTCACCCTTAGGATATGTTGCCTGCTTTTTAAATTTGTCTGTTGACGTCTTATCTGTGATACGCAGGCTTCATAACCTCTGATCCCCTTTCAAAATTCCATTTTATTTAGTTCCGCCCATTGTTTTCTCGTTTAGGGCACACGCTTTTTATTACTTGGGGACCATACGCCGCTTTTCATGGAATGGCACGGAAGTGTCACATTGAAGGTTCCATGATAACCGCCATATGAACACATCTGCGGATGTTTCTAAATTCAAAAATTTACTATTTCATGTTTAAATGTTGAATTCTGCTTAAGCCGGTGCTAGGGGGCGTGGACGGTAACTTGCACTTTCCAGTACCGTCCATGAACAGGCTCAATCAAACCGAGCCTGCAACATTTTCAATTTTGCCGTGTTGGGCTTTCTTTAGGGATTCTGTATTTATCTATTGTAAGCTTATATTGCCCGAGCTGCTTGACAAGGATAACATTGCAAACAATCGGTAATACATGTATGTATAGCTGAGCTTATCGGGATTGGAATAATGCTGATATTATTCCTATATTGTCTAAATGATGAGATTTAAGTTGCTCAACGTTATTTGTCATAAATATAGAGAACAAAAAGAATCCTTAAAGAAAGCCCAACATTACAAAATTGAAAATGTTGCAGGCTCGGTTTGATTGAGCGTATCCATGGACGGTACTGGAAAGTGCAAGTTACCGTCCACGCCCCTAGCATCAGTTTAAGCATAATTCAACATTTTAACTCGAAAATGGTGAAATTATAAATTAAGAAACATCCGCAGATGTGTTCTTACAACGGTTATAAATGCATATAGTGTGATTTAACACATAAACGTATACATGAACATTTTTTTAAAAACAAAGGAAGATGATTTTAAAGATAAAACTCACAGATCATCTAGACCACGACCCTGCAGTCTAGCAAGAGCTGAAATATCAATTTATCTTTGCCCTTTATACTAGCAATAGCTTAAATATCAATCAAACTCGGGAAATAAATTTAAATTGTAATAAATACTTTAACTGGTAGATATGGACTATTTCTTCAATACCGTTTTTTGAGTATTTGAGTAAGTAGGGAGAGGGTTGGCATGATTGCAGTTAATTGTAAATGGTCGGTTAGGCATAAAATTTAAAAAAAAGAGACCAAATAAAACGATAAAATGTGCTATGTTTAAACATAAATGTTGATATCAAAGTCATTAGAATAAAAGAACAAAATATCACCAGCATGCATGCTTTTACCTCATCGGAATAATGGAATTCGGTTATAGAATTTAAAGCATTTATGATAAAAAATATTTTTTATCAATGTCATTTTTTACTTCAAGTATTGGGAAAATGTGTAATGTTGGTGATAAAGGCCAGACAAAAATCAATGTCAGCGTCCAATTGTTCACTTTTGTCAACTAACGTTATCTTAATTATAGTTATCTTAACGAGATTTAGTCAACTTCAGCATTCGATTCGGTACATTTGCCGACATGATACGATAGTGGGTAGAAAGAATTTATTTCGTTAAAAGGTATGGCTGGGAATAAATTTACTTCAAAATGTAGGAAGAAATTTGAAATTCGTAGATACATATTCGTGGCATTATTTCTGGTTTACGTAGGAGTGACCTGTGCGTCCTTAATCTTAAAATCGGACTACTTGCGGAGGATTTCTGAACATGGAAAAGAGGATTTTAAAAGTAATAAGCTAACTGGGTCTTTACATCGGCTGAAAAGGGATACATTGAATCAAAACCTTACATTTAAGGAAGGTAAGGTTTATATTTCTAACATTTTATCAAAATTTAATATTCAAGGAAAAGCAAATAACTGAATGAATTTTCAACAATTATTTTGCATACAACAAAAGTAATTGCTCCCGCGCTCTAAATATATTTGCATTCTGTCATGATATTTCTATATTATTTCAGTGGCATTAGAAAAGACCTTATAATAAGTTTTGAAATTCATGTGTAGGAAAGTCGATGGTTTCAGCCCTGGCTTCTTTCAAATCTGTCTAAGATATCAAACATATTCTTCACCTGAGCATGGGACTGTTATGCTTATTACCACAACAATAAGAACTAATATGGCATGTATTGACAAATACTTTCAGTAGAATTGTGGTCCCCGTATAATATAAACACGGATATGAACTTACTTTTTCAACAAATTAAAATAAACAAGATAGCGACTTCATGTCCTATATTTCATCACTTGAATGATAGTTGCTTACACAAACTTTTAAAGTATTTAAGTGTGAAGTTGAATGTCGAAATATAAATCAATTAACATGTACATTGTCCTTACAATAGCAGTAGTCTATCCTAAAAATATCTCTTCCAACTGAATAAATAGACTATGTTTACATTTAGTTCATAACCGAGATTATCAAAACTCATTTATTCTGCTGATAAAGCTAGTTGTAAATGTCATATCAGGGTTATTTTACGTCAATGTTGTTAAATAACCTATCACATGTGTTTGATGTACATGTTTCACCAAACAGTACTCGAGATATCGTGTTAATAAACAATAGAGTACATCTAATTTTTAATAATCTTATAGAAAGGTAACACTAAACAGGTAAAGCTCACACCGCTATTGTCTATCGAATCTTTCGATGGCTCGACTTAACTTTTATGTTTATCTACGTTTCTTTTTGCTGACGTAAACTTTGATGTTAAATAGATAGATATACAGTAAAAACCCTCAGTTAAGACCACCATCGCGACTGGACCAATGTAGTCATAATTTCAGGGTGGTCCTAATTGTGGCTATTCTTATCATTGTTACACACTCTATGACTATGGTCTATTTAAGTCATTTTGTATGAACAAACACTGTGTACGATGTACCTTTAGATCCTCTAATAAGAAGTTTTCAATTGTAAAGTGCATTTTGTGCTCTTTAATTGACCATAAAATAATCTATATGTCTGTTGCATTAAATTTTCTAAGAATCATGTATTCTAGATTAGATTGTCAATATGCTTTGCACATCAGTGACGGGAAATAAATTCGTTTTTTTTTCTTCATATTGTTTGCTTTAAAAATAAATCTTATGCCTCGTAAACGTTATCACACACACACTTTATAACATATATGGAAATCCAAATAGTTTTCAACTTGAGTTGAGTTTTAACTGTCCATCTTTGATATCAACTCGCTATATAGATAACATATACATGTATATCACTTTATACATGTATAATATTAATATACAATACAGTACTGTATATAGTATAGTATATAGAAAGATATGAGTTTGTATAATGATACTTTGAAAGGATTTGTATTCCATATATGTCAGTTTTTGTATAAAGAAAAAGAAATGAACAAAAATAACACTTTTTAACAGTATTTTAATTAATTTCGATCATTTTAAATAACAATGACATTTTGAAATTTTAGACAAATTGATTTTTAATTTAAAATGACATGCTGCGATTAAGGATTGGTGTCGTTTGCCTTCAATAGCTAAATACAGAATCCCTAAAGAAAGCATTCAAACATCAAACATTCAAACCAATGTAAAATAGTCTTGATTATTCGTGCTTTCCTTATTTGTAACCAGATTAGGTGCTATGCAATTTAAATGACAATAAACAAATGGGAAACGATATATAGTATACTATAGTAGACACTTGTTAATATCTTATTGTGTAAGAATATTCAAGTACATAAGAGGTACTTTTTATGTCACATTTGAGGAGATATTTTGAAAGAAAAGTTTAAATTGTAATTTAAGCACATTGTTAGTGTGTTGTGATAATCCTTTTCGCTTACATATACGTAAAAGTACTATTATGAGAAGCTTTCAAAATTAAACCACTATTTAATTACCTCGTTAAAACACAAGTTAATGTCATGTTTTAAGTGTTCTGAAAATTAAGGCAACTATTTCTTAACATTAAAATTTGTATAGACATTTTCGAAACTGTCAATGTAAGTATAAGTGGAGGCGTTAAAGTAAACAAATTCATATCGTTCTTTGAAATATTGTCATGCTGCATTAATGTCAATAAGTATTTTCAGATCAGACATTTTATGTTGATACCTTTATGACAAAATGATTTAATTTGTAAAGTCTCCGATTTCATATATGCGTTTCTGAAGTTCTGTTTCACAATAAATTGCGTTGCTCATTTTTGACTTCAAATTTACATATTTTCTCAATAGTCTTCTTCTTACAAATTTGGTTTTAACGTAGTCTCGGATTGACTTAATCAGTAAATTTTATGTCTAATCACATTGTTCGTCTTGCAATTGTTCATTACGCTCCCTATACTATAAACTATTGATAAAAAGCAATAAAGCAATAGCTGATTCGGTAGTCAATTGATAGGCTACATTCATTCCATATGACTGATTCTAATTATACGGTGCGTATTGTTTGATCAGCATCAACTTCATGAGAAGCCTCAGAATATAATTTGCCTTCGGTGTTTTTAGTCATTTTTATTCAATGTGCTTAACAATGCGTCTTGTTTCATTGGTGACTGTTTTATAAATTCATACTAGTGATAAAAGTGTTGAAATTGACGACAAACACATAATTGAAATTGACGACAAACACACATTAATGATAAACCTGTTAAGGTTGACAACAAATACACGAATGAGAAACATGTTGAGGTTGACAACACACACACACACTTATTATTGATGCATTGCAGTAAACGATCATACACAATCTTGTGGTTGACAAAAACACACACAAATGATAAACATATTGAAGTTGACGATGATAAACATGTTAAAGTTGACGACAAACATTTTGAATGATAAACGTATTGCAGTTGACTACGATAAAAAAATGTTGAAGTTGACAACAAAAATAACGTTATATTTAACGTGTTAGATTTGACAACAAAAACAAAAATATTGAGTTAGAGAAAAACTGAATTCCTTTTTAAAAATGACGACAAACTTAATCACATGCATAAGTAAGACATGTCATTGATTTTGTTATTTTTGTCTGTATATTAGAATGTATCAAATCAACAATAGCACAGCCAAGTGCTACTAACTGTTGAAGGTTGCCCATTATGAATCAATACGGTGTTTGTTGCTGAATTTTGCAGTTCTATCTCCGAATTGTTGATGTCGACCAAATATTACCAAATACTTAGCACTACATAGACGGTGTAAGATAAGTTTTCAAAATGTTGAAACATACATAAGCTCAATCGTAATGTACCTGTTGTTTCCACTGCTATTGATATTTTGGATTTTGTCTGCACATGTCTAATTTTGCTCTATTGTATTACTTTTTATCTAAGCTATTACCATGGTAATTGGCTGCATGAATAATAATAACTTTATGCAGACATTTTATATCTGCACTTGTATCCAAGATCACGGACAAGAAGATAAATTCCTTACATCAACTTGGTTACATGTAAGAATGTGTTTCTTTGAAATCGTAATTGAAAATAAAAAAAGCTTTGAACGTTGAATTAGCTATTCCTTAAAGAGTTTTCGTACTCATTAGCATAAGGTTAAATTGGTTTAAAATTACTACTGCGCTTGAGATTGATTGCGTGTAAGCAGAATTACCTTTAATATCTTCCTAAAATAACTTGAATCTTAGTTTGAGTAGTCACCGCTTGAACATTTGAAGGAACAGTAAGGATTATTTTCATTATTCAGAAAGGGTAGAAATGTGTTAAATAATGTGTAACAATTGATTTAGAACATGCAAAATGCTCAAAGGCACTCCTACATGCCAACAAATAAATATATGCAAAAGGGTATAAAAATGTTTTTTCGACAAAGTGACATGAAAAAGTCCAAAAGTCAAGGATATTGTTTGTTTCCAAAAGAACGTGTTTTTCATGTTTGTATGTTTTATGTCCCTTTATTATTTTGTGTAATTCATAGCAGTTGATAATTATTTACAAAACGGAACAAAAGAAATGACACTATCAGATTATCAAAAAAAGGAGAAATTTTGACAACATACATAACTAGCAAAGAGCCTGAGAATCAGTAAAGACCTTTTTAAATCTTGGGACTGCAATATTTCACTAGTGTTGAGATTGTTAAGATAACGGTATAAGCTGTAGACTTCATATGAATCACTTTGCTAATTAATAAATAATATAAATGTTACATTATTTGATAACACACAGACTTTACTGTATTTGCCAATAATATTGTTGTTTTTTTTGCATATTTAGTATTATATTAAAAAAGGAAAATCAACTTTTATGTTCCATCCCTTTAAGTGTGCTGCTTGTTGCAGGGGTACAGTGTTTTAAACACTGGTCAAAATTATTAATGACCTTTCCTCAGTTTCTTTTTTGTGGTCGATAAAATTATAAATCCATGACGTTATCTTTGTTTTCCTCATTTACTTACATATTAGGAACATTATTTGATAACACATAGACTTTACCGTATTGTTGTTGGTTTGTTGGCATATTTTGTAAAGTCAAAAATAAAATCAACTTTTTATGTTCCATCACTTAAGTGTGCTGCTTGTTACAAAGTTACAATGTTTTAAACAATGGTCTTATATTATTAATGACCTTTTCCTCAGTTTACTTTTTTGTGTGTTTCCTGAAATAAATCAGATAAAATTATAAGGATCCCATTGTTACCGTTATCTTTTGTATGATTTCTTAAGTTTTTCAACAAAGACATATTAGGAAAGTCGGTAAAAATAATGCAGTAGTTTTAAAATATGATTTGGAATTAACTTTAATTTACAGGAAGGTCGTGGACACATATTTGTGACATTATTCCTGGCTTACGTAGGAGTGACT